ATAAACACTGAAGATGAAGCGATTTTGCGTCGTGAATCGCTGTGATTTGTTGTTCGTTTTTTGGATTATGATCACTCTGGACTGGATCATGATATGTTGTGTTATTGAATCTTTGTGTGATGGTTATTGAATTTTATATTGGAAACATGGATAATTCTATTATTATTTCTTCACAAGTCAATAAACAAATCGAAGTTTGTAATTTTTTTTTTTTTTTTCTGATTGTGTATTCAATTCATGTGAAACCATGTGGGATTTTGCTGATGGTTTTTTTATACATTTCGTTTCAGGTTGCCTAGTAATGAAGAAGTTGAGGTCATAAATCCAGAAGGTGGCAAGGAAGATGCAGAAGAGGAAGCTCAGAGAGGAAGGTGGAAGGACGAGGTAACTAATCGCCTGATTCGGCGATGGTTTCTTGATACTTCTCATTGAACTCCGCTATGTTTCTTTAGTTTTCGTATTTTGGGTTTTTCGACTTATCTTTTTTTGCTTAACAGGAACGAGATAGTTACTGGAAGATGATGCAGAAATATATAGGTTCGGATATTACGTCAATGGTGACTCTTCCTGTTGTTATATTTGAGCCAATGACTATGCTCCAGAAGATGGCGGAGGTTAGTGCTATATCTGATTCTCGTTTGTTTTGTAAAATTTGTTGAATTTTACACGGTATAACATTTGAAACATTTCTCGCAGTTAATGGAATATTCCTACTTGTTGGATCAAGCAGATGAATGCGAGGATCCATACATGCGTTTAGTATATGCTTGTAAGTATATACTTTTAGACTTGTATTGACTTCCAACTTTGTAACTTTTTTTCTCGTCGTGGTTGAATGTGGATTTTTTGTTAAGCATCATGGGCTATATCTGTTTACTTTGCCTACCAACGGACTTGGAAGCCTTTCAATCCTATTCTTGGGGAGACTTATGAGATGACAAACCATGGTGGGATTTCATTTATTTCTGAGCAGGTGCAGCTATACACTTCTTTGTTATTCGCATTGTGGATAATTAATGACTAATTCGCAAGACGTTTTCTGTTTGATTCATTTATGCCAAGTTATTCTGTTTCATTTCAGGTTAGCCATCATCCCCCAATGAGTGCTGGTCACGCCGAGAACGAGCACTTCACTTACGACGTTACATCAAAGTTGAAAACTAAACTTTTGGGTAACTCTGTTGATGTTTACCCTGTTGGAAGGTAATTGTCTTCCTCTTTATGATTTGCTTCTCTCTCACTTTGAGAGATGCTCTGTTTAATAGCAAATTACCGTGTGTTGCATCTACACTTTCCTTTCAATAGGTCTCTTAGCTTCTGTCTGAGATGAATTTCACTCTTCTGACTTATGTTCTTACAACAAGAACACAAAAGATTGTGATGTAATCTATTCTGGCTTATTTTTTCATCTAAGCTCATGCAGCCTGTTTTTGGATTGCAGAACGCGTGTAACCCTCAAAAAAGATGGTGTGGTTCTGGATTTGGTGCCACCTCTCACTAAGGTTCACAATCTAATATTTGGACGGACCTGGGTTGACTCACCTGGGGAGATGGTCATGACAAATTTAACCACTGGGGACAAAGTTGTACTGTATTTCCAGCCATGTGGCTGGTTCGGGTAAATGGCGACAAATTTCTTTATCTTATTGTTTTGTGATACTATGTTCATATTTTCTGCTTCCTAGAGTAACTCTTGTTTTTGAGTCCGACATGCTTATTGATTAAAATTTGCTTCTTTAATCTCAGTTCTGGCCGCTATGAAGTGGATGGATACGTTTACAGCGCAGCAGAAGAGCCTAAAATCATGATGACAGGAAAATGGAATGAGAAAATAAGCTACCAGCCTTGTGATTTGGAAGGGGAACCCCTTCCAGGCACAGAGCTTAAAGAGGTATGTCGTTTGTGTTCCTTACTGGACTTGGCTAGGTCCTGCCTGATAATGCGTTGAACCTTGGGATTCAACATTGATTTGCTCTTTAGTGTTTGCTTATACTCTTTTTTTTGTTTTCTATTGCTTCCTTCAGGTGTGGCATGTGGCTGATGTACCCAAAAACGACAAATTTCAGTACACCCACTTTGCTCACAAGATAAACAGCTTTGACACAGCTCCTGCAAAACTCTTGGCTTCAGACTCACGTCTCCGTCCTGATAGATTTGCCCTTGAGCAGGGTGACCTTTCAAAATCTGGTGCCGAGAAGCAAAGGTTTGTCATCTTTTCTTCCATCTTGCTCACTTATTTGTCACAAAGTTCAAATCTTTTACTTGCCGGTATTCCCCTTGCATATCTCTTTAGCATGGAGCTAGTACATGATCCACGATGCTAATCACCTGTATTGGCCAAAACCGATCATAGTTTTCAAACTAGGAAAGATACTTTGAGAATAGGTCTTGAGTGAAATATCATGAATGATTACTTGTTAGCTCGTGCAAAGCAACAGTGTTATGCTCATATGGTACTTTCATGCTGTGTTTTTATCACAGCCTTGAGGAGAGACAAAGGGCCGAAAAGAGGACCCGAGAGACAAATGGACATAAGTTTGCTCCAAGATGGTTCAATCTAACGGATGAGATCACATCTACGCCCTGGGGAGATCTTGAAATATACCAATACAATGGGAAGTA